ATAATGCGGCACCTAATATTTAAGGGTACCAAAATGGGACCTTAATTTTGGGAACTACTCATATACGGGTTGAGGGTTTAGAGGCTTAGGGTTTTGGGTTCGGGTGTTTAAGGTCAAGGGGCGTAAGGTTCAGAGTTTTGGGGTTTAAGGTTAAGGGGCTTAGGGTTGAGGGTTTTTGGGCTTTAAGGAGGTTTACGGGTATGTGTAGGGTTGCAATTGAGGTCATCAAAGAAGCCTCTTCTGGGGCTGCAACCTTCCACTTACATTTTGTTCTCCTCGCAACCCTCCATGAGCGGGCAGGAGGTACTTATTGACTGCCAGTTGCTCACGATGAACTCGGCAGGTTCCCACCACAACCTGCTGTGCCAGATTACTCCCAATAGAACTTCCATGAAATTCTACTACAAGTACTGTTGTCGTTGCCACTCCGGCTACCAGAAGCCTCAAGCTTACTATTGCAAGTGACATGACCTGTGGGTAGCTATTGCCTTTTGATTTTGACTTGAAGCATTACAAGTTGAAATCTGAAGTTTTGCATGACAACCTTATTGCAGGTTATGCTGGTAGCAGCAGCTTTTGTTGTTTTTGTGTTGCTTCGCCTTCTTGGTGGTGGTGGCGGCGGCAGCGGTGGTGGCTGTGGTTGTGGTGCTGGTCGTCGTGGTGGTGGGGGCGGTGGCCGCGGGGCGGCGGCGGCGGCGGTGGCGGTGGCGGCAGAATTAGCGGTGGTCTGGGTGGGGTGGTCTTGGTGGTGTCGTTGGCTGTGGCAGTGGCAGGTTTGGCTCGCGGCGGTGGCGGTGATGATGTTGATGTTGATGCTACTTCAAGAGTACGTAGTGGTGGTGTGGAAGTGGCAGCATCAGGGTTCTTTTATGGCAATTGTGTGATTTTTGGTTGTTGCCAGTTGTTGCTAACATTGTCTACTTCGGGGCTCGTAGCATCTAGCATCTCCAAGCGTTTCCTGTCAAAAGTGAAGGCCGCCCACCGGCCCCATTCCAATGAATTAGGTCCCTGCGCTGTTCTGTCAGAAGGGCATAACTGTATCGTGCAGCTGCATGGTCAGGTTTTATCTTTATTCTTGCTGTGGTCGCAGCCTCTGTTACTTTAAGTCATGACCATGAGTGATTCTATTCCTGAAGTCCTACGCACCCCAATCCCGCTGTGCGTGCTACGATGCTCTACACTGCGATATTGGTGGAGGCCTGATCTTCTTGCCGCAGCCACAGCGGTGGCTGCCGCTCGAGAGGAGTCCTTCCCCTCTTGCACCAGCCATTCCCAAAACTCCTCCAAGCAGGGATTCTTGCGGCTTCATGAATGGTGCATGAGTGCTTTGGCAACTGTAATCTTATGGGAAGAAATAAGTGCAGAGGTATGTCGCATCTGAATTGGACAGAGCCGAAGAGCAACGCATCGCAGTTTGTATGGCTTTCTGCACTCACCCCCCTTTCCCGGGAGGTAGAATTATGGGTGGATTACCATGAAGGTTGGCTCCTACACGATCCTCTGACGTAGAGGGATTTTAGGGGTTGCCCGTTCTCAATCTAATGGACAAAACGCAATCCGGTCAATTCGAACCAAAATTGCTACATCCCAGCCCCCAGACCCTAAACCTACCCAGCACCTGGCAAGGAGGAGCGTAAAGCCGAGGAGGCAGAGAAATGCTGCTATGCAGTACGTTTTTCTTTTTTCGGGACATGATCATGCCTGTGGTGGTTGTGGTGTTCGCTTGGCGTTGGGCTGCCGACGGTGGTGCTGGTGGTGCCGACAGTGGCGGCGGCGCCATGGGTGGTGGCTTTTCCTGGGTGGTGCGGCCGGTGGTGCTGGAGCTGGTGCTACTTGTGCTGCTGCTGGCGATGCTGCTGCCGCTGCTGCTCGTGATGGTTGTGGTGGTGGTGGCGGCGGCTGCAGTGGCGGCGGTAGTGGGCGTGGTAGCGGCAAGCGGAACAGACGACATGCGGACTTCCTAAGTTGGTATGGTACATGTCCCTATGTGCAGCCCTGAACATGATGCGGTTCCCTACACCACGCTTCCTTTTGTCAGACAAACTCCCGCATACTTCTCATTGCACTAGTCACTAGTCGCTTGCTGTTGGTGGTTGGTAGTGCGCCAAGCATTCCCTTAACTTAAGCTGGGAACATTGTCATCTACAGCCAGCATGATGCAAATATGTCCTCTAAGAGTTAAACAAGATGGTAAAGAAATGCCAAAGTAACCACGCTGTAGCCTCAATCCTTAAGCCTCGGTGTGGGGTGGGCAGCATCGACTTGGAGTTTCTATAAGTTTCTTGTGGTGGCAGCAGCTTGAGCGCAAGTCGCGCAAGCGACTGCTGACCACATTCGTTGAGAGTTGATTCTGAGCGACGCCGCTGTCAGAAGCGCAGGACGTTTGTTAACGCGCGTCGGCTCGACTCTGTGGATGCGTGCTCCCCGCCTGCTGCCTGCCGAGACCTTGCTCATCGTTGCATCGTCTCAAAAAGTCTTCCACCTGGACAGGGGGATGACGACGAGTCCTGGGCCGAGGAAGAGATCCAGACGGAACCTCATGAGGATGCCATGATCGCTGATTATCAAGGGTGGTCTTCTTCAACCTAGCTCTTTTAAGATCTTTTAAGCCTTCGTAAGAAATGCAACTGCAGCACAAGTTGAGCCTTCACCTTTGTGTGTCTCACTGCCGCTACTTGATGGTTCGAACGGGCGCCCCTTGCATAGCCGAAAACACGGGCCCTATAGTGCGTGAGCAAGCATGTGCAGCTGAATTGGTGTCGCGGAGCCCCGGTCGATCAGGGACATGTCATCCAACCTGCTCGACGGTGGGGGAAAGGATGACCGAAATTTCGTCCCTGGTGGGACGGGCGGCCCGAGACCTTCAGCCACTTTGTGACCGAGATCAAGTGGGCGGTGAGTTCTACGAAGAAGAGCGAGCGGCCCCTGCTTGCTTCGAAGATTATTCGAAAGGCCCTCCAGTCGAACCATAGCACCTTGGTACAGTTGATGTACAAGCCTGACCCTGATGACTACAAGACTGAGGGAAGTGTTTCGAAGCTCATAAAGTACTTGGAGGAGTCGCCGCTGAACAGGCAGCCCCTTCCCGATGCCGGCAACAAGATTGGCGGCTACTATAGGAGGCTGCAGAGAACCCTGAAGCTCCAATATTCCTTATTTAAGGTATATTCCTTAAATATCCCCATATCCCTTATCTGCCGACCTTAATTAAGGCTTTCTGCCTT